GTTTGGTTCAGGGTCGTCTTTATTTTATAAAATACTTGAAATAACTGAACCGAGCAAACTTATGCCTTAGAAGTTTGTGAAAATTTGTGAAAAGTTTGTGAAAAATTGGAGCCTATCTTATGCCCTCGAAGTTTAATCTCTGCATGTCTTAAAGTGTTGGATTTTGTGAAAAAAACTTGAAATGTTATTAAGCCTTGGAATCATGTTTTGAACCCCTGATATTGTGAAGCGTTAGACCATTGTTCAACCTCGAGCCGTCGGACCATTTTTTATACCGAAACCTTATGTTGGCCTCGTGAAACGTGTTTCGACCTTTTTCCATTAACCGAGAATTCTGAGTTCCACTAATTAATTTATAAGTCCTTAATCAAAATTGAAGTTTAAACTTGTTAAATTTCAAGAGATTTGTGGCAAGTTATTTATGAATTTTTTTCCCTTAAAATGTAGAATTTGAGAATTCTAGCCCTCGAGTTCCTGTGTGATGCATCTATGTTATCTGCATCATCCAAACCTAGCTGGGTGTTGCTAAATTACTATGCCTTTGTGCTTTATAATCACATGATTTCATAGTTGATGTGTGTGTATGAATTTGAATGTGTGGTGTAATGACTGTGTGGCACAAATGAATGAGTGGCGCAATGACTGTGTGGCACATTTGAGTGAGTGGCGCAATGACCGTGTGGCGCAATTAACTGTGTGGCACAATGACTGTGTGGCGCATTCAGTGTGAGCTTATGTCATTGAGCGCCTATGAGACGGCGAACCGACAATAAAAATGCGTACACATGAGACGACTGATGAATGGAGACAGTGAGACAGATGTTGATTATGTTGTTTATATCCATGCTAATAATTATGCTATCTGTTATTATACTGCATAATTGTAAAGTTTTCCCACGGTGAGCTTGTTGTCTGCTCAACCTCATACATCAACATTTTTTCAATTGGCCAGCTGGCTGCGGTCACGAGGAGACAATGGTGGTCGAAGTATTTCCTTAAATGATTTACCGCCTCTGAATTCCCGACTTGGTGTTATCTTGGGCTTGTTTTGGGAACTATGATTGTGCGATGAGAATTCGACTGTGTGTTTCAAAAGTTTTATGAATGGGATCTTATGTATGACTCAAGTTGTTGAAAAGAAAGGGCTTGAAAGGAATTTTACGTTGAATGTTATAAAAATTTCAAATATTTTCGAGAAACTTCGTGATTTCTAAAGAAAAATAAGTGGGTGTTACATAATGCATGCAATGTTGTGTACGAGGCCCGATATTAGCTAAGTCGTAGGCCTAGTGGCTAGATATCAAAGTAATCCAGGCCCGAAACATTGGTATACAGTAAACATATACTCAAGTACCTGAGAAGGTTACATGTTAGTTTACCGTGCAGATAGCTTGCTACCGCTGGGTTACACCGATTCCGATTTCCAGTCAGACCGCGACAAAAGTGAATCTACCTCAGGTTATGTGTTTACACTAGGAGGTGCAACCATTTCATGGAGGAGTGTCAAACAGAATTGTGTGGCAGTATCCACCATGGAAGCCGAGTATGACGCAACTTCTGAAGCAGCAAAAGAGGCAATATGGCTCATAAACTTTTTAGTAGACTTAGAAGTGAATCTGAGTTTACCACACGCTGTCATATTTATTGTGCTAATAGTGGTGCAGTAGAAAACTCAAGGGAAACACGAGCCTACAAGGCCAGTAAACACATAGAGCAAAAGTACCACCTAATACGAGAGATCGTAGGGAGAAGAAATGTCGAAGTTGCCAAGATTGCACCAGAGAAAAACCTAGTTGATCCTTTCACAAAGAGTTTGCTGGAAAAAGTCTTTACTAGACACGTAGAAGAAATGTGAGTCAGATGTGTGGTGTCAGGATCGACATAGGTCTTTTAGAATAAGGATTGAAAGATATATACTAGAAAAGCATAAGCTTTAAGTATAAGTGGGAGTTTGTTGGTGTGTATATTGAAAGATTGACTTTAGATGTTATTCAAACTATTCATGTTAAATGAGATTTTGTGTTTTGATAAATAAAGTTTTATGTCCTATTGTTTTGTATTTAGGTAAATAGTTCATCATGGATGGACAGAAGATCATTTATCGGTTACATGCAGAACATAAATAATTGGTTCACAACCTAGATGGAAATTGATCAAACAATCAGAACGATTGTAGTATGGACGGTACAGTCGGTCTTGGTTGATTAATCACACTAGTACATATTGGTGTGTTGACTGGATCCAGAGAGGAGACGTTCGTTTTATATTGAGCGACATAAATGAACTCGGGCTCGACTAATTACTGCGTTCTAACCGTAAATATAAACAGACAAGTGTATGTAATAATTACTGCTTTGAATAAGCAGAGTGAGGTTTATTGTCATGGACCAATAATTGTCTATTTTGTGTAGTGATTCCTACATGACATGGTGTTATGTAATACTATTTATGGTCATTGTGTACTTCACAAATTTAAGGTTTGATTATGTCCCCGAAGTGAGTTCAGAATGATTATTTTATTAAACACTGCAGGTGGATTAAATTCTGGCATGATTATAATGCATTGGATGGTGTTAGTTTTGGTTCAAGAAGTCAATTAATTCAATTATTAATAATTAAATAAATTGACGGACATATATCTTAAACATGGAGAGGTAATTCGAGTAATTTAGAAGTGGAGCTCAAATCGTAATTTGAGAATTAAATTGGAAAAATTCAATAATACTACTTTAGTAGAATGATAGTATTATCAATATTTGAGGTAAGTAGGCTTGTCCGACAGTTGGGCCCAAATATGACAAGTCCAATTTAATGTCTCCTTAAGGTCCGTATTGAAGCTTATAAATATACATCTTCTCTAGTCTTCCAAGACATACAACACATATAGACATCTAGAGTCCCCTTCCCACCAAGGGAGTTCTAGAGGTGTTAGGTTTTTTGATAGAAGGTCTTACGATAGTCGAGCACCCGACCCGTCGCCGAGCACCCGACGACCCAGCACCACCGCAACGCACCGCTGCCGACCACAAGCTCTCGGTGCCCCGTCCCTGACGACCCACTGCACCTGCTCGCTCCCGGCGTCAGCTCCCGGCGACCCGCGCATTCCCAACGACGTCGAGACCCACTATCCGCAGCAGCGGACCGATGCCATACAACTCACAACAATCCCACGACCCGTGCCAGTTCAGATCCGCGACCAGCCCTAGTGACCGATCGCGACCCGCAGCTCTCGGAGACCAGACGCACATGACCTGTGACATCCCGACGAGGACTCTGAGGTTCAAACGATCTTTAACAGCGAAAATCATAAACGTCTTGGCAAATTATTAAACTGTAAGTCTTCTACTTTAACCTATAGATCCGCTTCCCATAGGTTATTTCGTAGATAAACCTTTAACTTGCACATTTAGCGGTGATCCTTATAAATCCCAACACCTGTGATGTTCGAGCTACTAGCACCATGTACAATTTGAGCTATCGACATCTTGTAATGTCCGAGCTATCAATCCCCTATACGTCCGAGCTACTATCACCCTGTAATGTCTGAGCTGCTAGAACCCTGTACAATCCGAGTTATCAGTCCTCTATAATGTCCGAGCTATTGGCATCCTGTAATGTCTGAGCTATCGATCTCTTGCAATATCTGAGTTGTCGGTCCCCATGTGTTATCCGAGCTACTTTAGGACTGACTATTCAGGCTTACTGCAGCCGATTTACTCGAGCTACACTATGCTATATCAGTATCAAATAACAATTCAAATAAAAACAAAAGAATCGAGTGCATCAACAACATTAGTTTAATTTATTGCCAATACAGAGGAGGCCACTATGTATGGCGCCAAGCAAATCGTCATTAAACCAAGAGTTGCCTTCACAAACCCAGTGCGACGCTGACATTTTTCCCCTACCTTTGTTCTTTTAAAATATTCGGTTTATTCCGTTTTCTTGTTTGCGTCTCTCCTTTTACCTAGCTCAGTGTGTGATCTTAGCAGTTGCAAAACAAGAAAAAAAAACGACTGCAAATCGAAAGTTCTGCTCGGCTCATGGAAAATCAAATCTAAGGAGAAATAACTGTTTGACCATGTAGTTCTAAATATTGATTACTTTCCCATGCAAAATTACTGAAAATTCAACTTTGCTAGAAGAATGTGGTGAATTGGAAATAACACTTCAACCATCATGATTTATATATTGCACAGGTAACAGAGGTCTTTAGTTTATTTTCATGCTTATTTTTTTAATCTTATCAATTCAGTTCCATTATACCCAAAGGCGGTATCAATACCGAGCCGAAAACCCTTCAATAACCGATAATCGATTACTCGTACAAGCGCGTCGATACGGTTCGGTTTATTTTCTCGTCATTTCAGTTCGATATGGTTTTTTTGTTTTTTTTTTTGGTAAGAAATACCAACCCTACTAGTCAGTAAAACAGAGAAATTTAAATCTTCAACATTAATAAAATAACCAGTATACTTCACACTATTTTTACTTCAAAATATTGTAGAACAGTTTTGATATTCTAACAATTGAGTTGATATAAAAGAACAGCTACAGACCAGAAAAAACTTTATGCGGGATCTAACAAGGCATTCAAGCATTCAAAATAAGCAACAATTTACCAGTCTAGACGATATGAACTTGCCATTTTCATCCTCCGACATCCAGGCAGTTCATGCACAGAGCTACTTAAACAAACGTTAATTCAACAATATGTAGAAAAATTCTTTAAAACCGAGCTCAAAGCCATTGCTCAATAAAGAGCAACATCCTAAGTAAAAATAACTTGAAAAACTCGAAAAGAAAAACGAAATGGAAAAAACGCTTTCTAGTTAATGAAATAGTTATTTTATGTTCTGCCGAAACAAATGTCGAATCTACAGTTTGTGGCATTAATTATTTATTAACATGAATTTACAAGGGATGCAGGTTGAGCTAACCCATCAAGGAATTTATGTACAGACAACTGAATTAGAGAATCACCTAACCGAACATCTTTGTCATTCGCTGATGTCGAAATACTTTGGGTTCGAGGGGTAATCATATTCCACTTGCAACTGCATTCATCAAATAAAAAAAAGGGACCATCACTTGAACAACGAGAAAAAAGTGAACGATCGAATCTATCCAATCACAAGGAAATGCAACTTTTTATGTGACAAAAACCCATTACAAATGCCCCCTCGAAGTTCATTTTTCGTTTTCCAAACACCCCCACTCAATAAATGGGGTGTTTCCACAAAAGAAAATAAACATGTCAAAGGGAATATTTGCAATTTTGAAAAATGACTAGGCCTTTCTGCAATTTAGAAACTACTATAAAAAAATACATGCATACCTTGCCCTCATCTGAATCCGAATGCCGCTGAGGAAAAACTACTCTCATATCATTATATAAGTAAAAACGGCGTTGACCCTCGCAATCGATGCCGTTATTGGAAGGCAGAGAGGCCGAGCCCGATTTGCACTTAAGACCCGTTCTCGAGCACTTTTTGCTGTGGGGGCAAACGAAACGGAGGTGCAGAGCATAACGCAAAACGCCTGAACCTGAGGTACTTTTGTTAACCTTGGGCAGGCAACATACAGATTTACCTTCTTTTAAATTGAATGTGATTTCGTTTATACCATTAGTAGTTTTGCAATTGTCGTCTAATATGTTTTTTGCATTGACCCCACATGAATCGGAACATAAAGTCTCGTGTGGTGTTGAAAGTGGGGACTCATTTCTCGCACAAGAATCTTTATGCCCGCCTCTATCAATGGCTAGAGTGGCCCTTTGGCGAAGAAAGGTCTAGCAAGTCCAAAACATGGGTATGTGAGTTTTTTTTTTTTTTAATGACGGCTATACCATTAGCAGAGTAATAAAAGAAAAAGGGCATAGCACACCAACAAATATCCAACTCAGTCCAATAAACAAGGCAAAAGATAAAAGGACAGTGAAATGGCTATTTGAGGCATGATTAAGATAACCGGATTAAGCTGCGAATTTCATGAAGAGGATGAGTTGTTTAATCAAATTTAAATGAGTCATACTGACCTTTGTGCCAGCTGGCATATCACTCAAATCATAGTTGCAAAAGAATGTGTGAATCGGTGTTCTTTCGGGATTGCTTAGGACCTGTTATAGAAAACTCTCACTCATTAGAAAAAAAAAGTTGCTATTGCCAAACGGAGGCAAACTCGAATTATGTGCAGGAAAGTAATCAAATTAACTCAAAAATTAATGATAGCAAAATCATCGTTAATTTTGCAGTTATTTGTAAGGGCAACGAGAGAGACAAACAGAGTGAGAATACCAATTGCAGCCTCCCTTTCATAGGTATTCTCAGACGGACTTTCTCGTCCGAGGAGCCATTAACACTGAGGCTTCTCGTTAATTTTGGGCCTTCACATTTGTTTGAAGATAAGTTTCTTGAAAGATCAATAGATGAGTAGTAGAGTAAGTAATTATCACCATCCACGCTCGTTACTGTAAATGGAAGCTTCTGCGGGTGAGGTGTGAATTTTCCTCCAGTGATATTCAGCACAGCCAGAAAACCATCTATTTTCTGTAGAAAAGCAACAAGACCAAAAAAAAAAGAGTTTAGGTTTGAACCACATTCAAAGTACTCAAAAATAAAAAAGGAAATTTAAGTCAGAGCTCATACTTTACAGTTTACATATAAAATAAACATGTAAGAAGGGCACCTGGTTGACTATCCCAGATGCTAATCTACCAGATAACAGTGACTCCTCGAACGAACCAACTAACGACCTTCTAACAGACAATCCACTCAAAGATTTGCCTAATTTCACACTTTGGGTACCAAGTGTTGGATTTTGACCTTGAACGGATACCAAATTCTCAAAGCTCACCGGACAATTCTCACAATCCTCTAGCCCTTTCCTCCAAAAGATTCCATCTTTAACTTCACAAGAAGAAAGAAAGCCTGAAACAGTCCCTTCCAGGGACCGCGCTATGTTCCTATTATCCAGCTCTTGCTCCCTATAACATATCGTCCTCCCACAAAATTTCGGCCCAAGAGGTGATAAAGACAGGGGAGGCGAAACAACTGTGTCCCGTAATAACAATATATTTCCCGAACTATTATTTGGAGGCGGCTGGATTGTTCC